ATTTTAATCTCTCACTTTAAAAAATATCCTTTCCAGCTACTTCTCTGAAAACTTATCACAGCCAACATACAAATCAGGAGAATTTATCCAAATGAATCCATTTGAATGCCATATTCATTGCTTCTGTTAAAACACACTCAGTAGAACTAATGTCTCTGAAATACAGGTCACTGGTAAGAAAAAAAAGCTGTATCTCTATGGCAGCTTCCACCATGTGTTGCTTTTATGCTGTATAATTCCTGCTTTATAAATAATAATGTATTGAAGGACTTAGATGAGAAATCCTATTAGGAAAGATTTAGGAACCAAAGAATTTTTGTTTATCCTCCTCAGACTGGCATCCTACCTCTTACAACTTGGGTTTTTCCCCCTGGGCTCTTGCTGAAAGCTTCTTTTAGAAGTTTTAAACAGTTAAATGAGGTTCAATTAAATACTGAACGTCTTGATCAAAAAATACTTATTTGAATATGTACTTTGGGGTCTCTCTGGAAAAGAAAGTGCGTGTAGGAGGAGCTGGAAGGAAACATTTTAGCTTTCATGCTTGAATATTAACTGTGCATTTGAAAAACACTTTCTTTTAAAATAAACATGTCTATTTATAAATATGCTTTGGACTTCTGACAAGTAGCAGCTTATGGGTCTGATGCTGAGCTTTTGTACCTGTGCAACAGCCTCCAAAGTGTCCATGTGCAGGAAGGAACAAAAATAGGCAGAGAAATTAGTCTGATAGATGAGATTGAAACTGCTTTCTACACACTTAAGTATTTTCAAAGGAAGCCAGAAAAGGCATTTTATGAGAAAAGGAGCTGAAACTGAAACATTGACCATGCTTAGGAAGATAATCTGATTTTTCAGCCCTGCTTCTAATCAATCTTATGCCCTCGTGTCTTGCACAAGCTGCATTACCTCATCTGCTGTGCTCTGGGTTAGCAAAGGATGACATTGCTTCTTGGTTTCACCTTTGGAAGTGCCTGCCAGGGCTGCTTTATGGCTCCCTCATTTCTCTGCCATCCCGCCCTGCCTAGCAGAGGATGAGAGAGAAATGGAACTGCTGGGACTCAGCTTGAGTGCTGGTAATGAAGGGAAATGTTACATAAGAGATTAGCACTATTAAATTCATTGTGCGTTCCAGAGATCAATTTAATAATGAATTACTTTACAGGAGACAAATCTTGGATTTCATTTGCTTTTTGAAGAGTTCCTTTTTTTTTTTTTTTTTTTTTTACCCATTTCCCAGTTTCCTTTGATAAAAATTCAAAGAGGCACTACTAAGAGCACATACTGCTTGCTATGGTGATCTGAGGACTCAGTTACAGGATAAAAAATGACACTGTCAGTACCCTGAGGGCACCAACAACTCTTGATCACCCTGAGCAGCATCACCTGGGCCCTCCACCCACCCCTCTGCCCACAGGTCCAGGAGCATCAGTTAAGCACAAACCTAATGTCCTAAACCCCTGTGCCCCCTTCTGTACCTGCCTTTGCTCCCTACATGTCAGCCCCATTTTGTGTAGAGGCTCCTGTTGGAGCAGAGCACCAGCTCAGTTTTTCAGCTGCTCTATCCAGAGAACCTGAGATCAAGACAGTCTTTGTGGTGTTAACCATAGTTCCCTGTACTGTATCTCCACTTGCATTTGTGATGGTTCCATAAAAATGAATGGAGAAGCCAGTGGCTTCTGGGTGATGTGAATTGTTGAATGATGGAGTACAAAGTGGCCAGAGCTGTCTGACACAGCAAGGGGACTTTTTCTGCCAATTTGAAATCTCACATTGTATATATATATACATTGTAGATTATGAATAGCCTGGTTAATGTGAGATTCTTCCACTCAATTGTAGATGTGAATTGTTTTAAATTTGAGACTCTTTTTTTTGTTGGTTTTTGTATTCAGCTCTTTGGAAAGAGTCCTGAGACATCCATTTCCATAGAGGAAAAATATACTTATTCACAGGAGTAATTCTCAGCTACTGCATCTGGGAACACAAAAAAACAGTGCTTAGAGAGTCTGATATCCTCAGTTCCTTTGTTAGCAACCTGGCAGTGTTAACATTGCTTTAAGAGAGGAGGTTGAAGTTCATGATGCCTTGTTTTCCATAATGCTCTTCTTCTAAGCTTGAAAATTAAATTTTACTCCCCTCTGGTTTTTCCTTCTTCCTATTTGCTGAGAACTTTGTTTTGCCATTGTAAATTGAATATGAAATTGGATTTAGCTGAAATAGCTGTGCAGGGTTTAAATAAAATGGAAATGTTTTGTACCTTCAGTACTGTCTCTGATAAAGACAGGATTAAAAGAGGTTAAATATAAGTTGCTTAAATCACCCCATGAAGGTTTCATAAATGCTTGAAAATGTAGTAGCTCTGAAATTTTTGAAAAGATGCATCACTAGGTCCTGAAAAACTGCTTTTCTAATAACTATACAGGAAAAATATTCTGTGGGAGATCCCCTGGACTGGCAGCTGAATGCCTTCATTAAAAGGTAATGGTTGTGAGGTTTTTTTGCAAAAAGTCACAGACTGCTTTGTCAGTTTTGTACCTGATTATTTGTGTTCTTTCTGAAGTTACCTTGCCCCACAGTTACTCTATTTAGAAAACGGCAATAAAAACACAGTAAGAAATAAAAAGCTATTATGCTTCTAAAGTTGTTCAGGGCCATTTTGTTCACCTCCCCCTCCCTGCCTGAAATAATAAGGCAATCAGCTGAGTTATTGGTTTCTGACATGCTGCATGCATTCCCTAACTGGTGCCATTTATTCCTCTGATTGAACAAGAACCTCTTTCATTTTTCACATGAAGACTTTTCTTTGGGTGAGTGCATATTCTTCAGTGGGGTACAGTAACAACTGGGCTAATTTAAAAATATCTAGCTTGACAACCGGCAGCCATCTGTCTTTGGCACCACAAAGATGTATTTTGAAAGGGTCAATTTAGTCTGTGGGGAGTTCTAATATTATTGGTTCCCAGTTAAAACTGCCTTGAGAAGCTCTCTGCATTACACTGCAATCTGTGGACTGTACATAAACTGGTGGCAAATTGTTTTCATGCTGTATTCTATGAATCTGCCAATGAATCTGTACAATCAGAAACAATATGAGATAAGCAATCAGTTAAATAGCTTAAAAATATGATTAGCTCTTAAATTTTTTCTTGATAAATTTAGGAGAATATTGTCCTGTTGTAAGAGTGTCACCTCTCTAATGAGGCATTAAGGAGTAGAGGAAAAGGCTGCACAGGAGAGGATAATGCTTCTGGTGTAAAGAGCAATACCGTAAATGTCTGAATTCTGAAATACCCCAAGGAATAGCTCAGTGAGCCTCCATCATGAGAAAGGCTCAGCAGGGTGATGCTTCCCTTTTTGACAAGGAAATGATGAGCAAAATCCCATGACCACAGTTAATCTCTACCTCAGCTCTCAGGTGAATCAAGCCTCAGAGGAGGAGCCCATCAGAGCAAACGCTGCTTTAATTGAGGGTGTTAATACTGAACACATTTCTGTGCCAGCCCTGTGTTGGCACACACTAAGGGGTATCTAGTACCAACTGCAAGGACCTTGCTGGTGGGTATTGGGGCAAGTAAAGGTTCCCTGGGCTGGAAAAAGAGATGAAAACCAAACTTGATGAAGGTTTTCAATTTCAAATATTGAATGAAATAAAATACTGTTAATTTTAGCCAGAGGAAAACTTCCTGCTGATGATAATGGACACTGAATTTTATTCTAATTTTGCTGCTCTGATACAGGTTTAACTGATTTTTATCATTGCCTGACTCTAAAATGCAAATCAGGGATACAGTGCTAGCAAATTTGGAGCACTGCAGTCCCCATTTATAGGGAGCTTCCTCTTCCAAACACTTTTGGAGAATGCACAAGAGATTTAAAAAATAACACAGTCCATTTTGAGGCAGATGGAAAATCATATACAAGTAAAACTTGGAGCAATAGGGGCTCATTTCTCTGACAGACCAGCTTAACAGCACTAGGGACAGTATATTTTAAAAGCAGCTGAACCAGCACAGGTTGCACTTGCAGTCCTTTCCCTTTGCATATGCATAATTACATGCTTACAATGCATTTTGGATTTGCACAATTGAGCACCCCACACGTGTATCTGGAATGCCAGCCTCCATGTGGAAATGGCTTGCCTATTGCAGCCATTTCATGTTTAAAAGTAGCCACAAACACACACATGCACAAAAGAACTCCATCAGTGCTCATTACAGGGTATTGTGTCCATTGGCACAGATGGAAAACCTGCATGGGGAGGATGTCAGCATATTAATTCCTGAGAACCAAAGGCTGCAAATTCAAAATGTGGATTTGGTCGCTGGAAGGGATTTGGAAAGGCAGAGTTTGCAAAGTACTGCTGCTGTTTCCAGTGTGCATGGGGATCTCAGGTACACCTGCAGGCTGTCCCAGCAAAAGGAAACTGGGATCTGTTTCAATCCTGCATACTGACTTCAAGCACCCTAATTAGCCACTCAACAGTAGGGCTTGTTGCTAATCACTCAGCTGGCTCTCCTGTGTGTTGAATGGCTTTGTTACTGGAATTGTATTTGCTTTAAGAAATAAGTGTAATTTAGCATAAGAGATAGGTATAATATTGAAGAAAACTCACCAAGAAATGCAAATAATTGCTAGTAATGCGTGAGGGTCAAATCCAGCAACAGTATTTGAAAAATAGGTTTTCATCCATTGCAATTTGTCCAGCAAATAGAACAAATAATTATGACAATTTCTACCATATGGGAAGAAAATAGAACAAAATACCTTTGTGTTTTGAAGGCATTCTGCTTGTCCTTCCTTTGATATGAGACTTCAGAGGGGATCTTGCTTTGGTGTCTGTGGATAACGTGCTGTAGCTTCTGATTTGTGTTTTCTCACAAACTTCTGAAGCTGCAAAGAGGAAAGAGTGGGAAATGAGAGGATGCAAACAGAATGCAGCCAGCAATGTATTTCACAGCAGAACGTGGGACTGTTACATTTCACCTTTGTATCTGTTGCAGGAGGAATTGGGTGCCTGGGTTATGACAGAGGACAGACACGGAAATGCCTTGATGCAGTGGAGATTTACAACCCTGATGGAGACTTTTGGAGGGATGGAGCCCCTCTGCCTTCTCCCCTCCTCTCCTTACGAACCAACTCCACCAGTGCAGGCTGCGTGGAAGGGAAGCTGTACCTCTGTGGAGGATTTCATGGAGCAGGTACTAAAATGAGTCCAGCATGCTCTGTGTAGTTACAATCAGTTGCACTGGGCACAGACTGACCTGGTGAGTGATCAGCCCTATCAGGTGGCACTGGCATGCCCTGGAGTCACAGACCTGATTCTGCCCTTTGGACTGCCAGCTCCTAATGTCAATACGAGTTGGGTTCTGTTTGACTTTTGCTAATTTCCTTAACAAAGCACAAAAAATTAAGGATGTTTCTGATCAGTTTCTAAACCTGTCTGAATCTAAAACCTCAGCAGAATTATTCTGGATTTATATTTAGAGTTACAGAAATGAGGAGCTTAGTGTTTTATGGACATCAGAGAACTTGGGCATATTTGTTGAAGATTAGGGCCCTGTCCATCAGTCCTTAGCCATGTTATCTCACTCTGCCTGCTTACTTTTTGTAATCAATTTTGAAAAAGCTTGTGTACTTAATGAGAGCCCTGGGTAGGGAACCGAGATACAAAAAGACTCAAGTTCCAGATCTGGTGATTTTAAATAATCTGAGCCCCAGGGACACCTTTCTTCTTTTAAGTCTTTTTCCTTCCAACTTTGCTTAGCTTTATCTAGATCTCCAGTGCATATAACCTATTTTTTTTTTCATTATAATTGCAAAGGATTGCAAAACAAGCACACTTAAACGATTCTGCTACATACAGCTGCCACCCCAAATTCCTTTCTAGGAGAAAGCAATAGCACAGATTAGGAATAGCAGTTATCCAGTGCTAATAAATATCATGTCAGCCTCACTGTTGATCAGGAATGGTGGTATCACTGGGAGACCTGTCCTTCTCATTACAGTTTTACTTGTATAACAATGTCTAAACTTAAAGATGCTTTTATTTTAGAATTATGATTTTCATCAGCTAGTTCACAACTTGCCTTCTGCTTTCATTTGCTGCTGTTTGAGGAAGCTGCTTCCTGAAAAGAATTGTTTGGCGTGTTCCATGTCATCTCTGATGGAAGTTCTGTGATGTCAGAGAAATTTTGCTTATCACAAATCGCTGTGTTTCCATAGGAAACCTTGTGCCATTCTAGTTGTGTTTTTTTCTCAGCAACATTATGAAAGAGCCTAAAGTTAGTGGGTAAGAATTTCAAAAGGCTAATCATGGGAAGTGGTTGAGTCACCATCCCTGGAGGGAGATAAAAGATGTGTCGATGAGGAGCTCGGTACGTGGTTTGGTGGTGGGCTTGGCAGTGCTGGGTTAATGGTTGGACTGGATGATCTTAAAGGTCTTTTTCACCCTAAACAATGTGATGACTCTATGACTCTATTAACAGTGAAAAATGAAGCCATTTTTTTCCAGATGACTAACAGATTAATATGAGATTTTCTGACTAGTGTAACTTCAGAGCCACAAAAAACACTTTCTGTACAATACCACCACGTTCTGTCACTGAGTCATGTATAAAGAGTGGTTGTTCTGGGAGAGGCTGAAAGTCCTCCTGTGGATTTCAAGAAGGCTGTCTTTTGTATATTTGTATAATGCCAGCTCAATGGGGTCCTGATTCCTCCTCTACAATTGCAATCTGTATCATTATGTATAGAACTCCTTTGTACTAATAGTGCTATTTAGATTGGAAAACAAGAAGTCAAAGTTACAAAATGCCAGTTTTGCAGTTACCTGTGCAACCTGAATTCTGACCCCCTACATGTGCATTCTGTGCACCAGTAAAGAAGTGGTGTGCAGTTGTGCTGTTAGGCAGTCATTAACAAGGCAGCCAAAATAAGAGTCTCACTGTCAAATCAGGTGTAACCACATAGTTTAGGAGCTGAGAGGAACCTGTGCCTTAAACACAGGCTGATTACTGTGACTTGCAAGTTGGTACAGGAAAAGGGCTTTCTAAGTGGTCACAACAATGACAGCTTCTGGCTCCATCATCAGGACAAGGATGGGCAGAGGCCGTGAGCTGATGGTGGAGATGTCACCTGGCTGGCCTCTCTCCCTGGCCACATGCTCTCTGCATGCTGGAAAGGGTTCTTGCCTGATGAAGAGAGGGTTATTACCCTTTGGAGTGAGGGAGGGTTATTACTGCCACATGGGAGCCTGGAGAGGGTGCCTTGACCCTGCACTTTCACAATTACAGCTGCTCAGCAGCCTCAAGGTACAGAACAGCATGTGCTTCTGCTGCTTTAGTAGAAGATAGTATTATTTTAGGATGTGTTTGTTTGGTTTTGGTCTTTGGGCTTCTTGGCATGTCACTTTGGTTTTTGTGAGGGATGTGACTGAAAGAGGATATTCCAATTTTACAAAACATTGTAATTTATTTTCATCCAGTTGGAGTTTTTGGAACAAGCTGGAAGCACAGCTGTAGTCTTTGGGTTTTCTGCCTGCTGAATGCCAAAAGACTGCTGTGATCATTCAAGAATAAGCACAGCAAAGGAAAAAAAAAAGGAAAATAAGCCAAAATCACTGCTGCAATTGAAGTCTTAGCCTATAGGGCTGAAACTAACCCCCTGTATAGTATAGATCTGTCCTAATCTCTTCAGCCTTCACTTGCCTTTGTATTTGCTTAAACCCACTCTTGATCCAGCAGGAAGTTGACCTGGTAAAGACATTGTTTCATGTTAATTTTTGACTGGTATGTGTCATGCTCTCTATGCCTTCCTGCATGTGTACAGACCCAAGTGGATCATTAGAGCCCAGAGATGCTGTAGCCAAAGCTGAGAAGCAGTTGTTAACTGCTTAAAGGGCCCTAAATTTGGAAGAAAGGATAAGTACTGCTCACCTACCATCTTTTCTCAGTCCCATGTGACAACTGAAGTTTTGTGATGGCAGGATTCCCATTCCATATGTATTGCCTGTCACAAGTCCTTGTCTGCCTGAAGGGAAGACAAATGGTGCAGCCCTAACATCATCCCCAGGAGAAAAGGAAGAAAAAACTGCAGCTACTCAAGAGGGAAGTCAGCTTGGTCGGATGACAGTAGCAATGGGAGGTCCTTCTAGGAGATGAGTGAACTCCAAGGTGTGTTCAAGCTACCTCTGAACTGCAAGGAATATTTTTCAATGTTGAGATGGTAATGCTTGTAAGGCTTCTCCTGCTGAGGCTTGCTCAGGTTAGAAGCTTATTCAAAGCTGGCCATGGAAGAGGAAAGGGGATTAATTCAGCTGAAGCTCAGACACTTCTCTGCAGTGCCTACACTAAGACCTTGGTAACCCTGGGCTCCCTGCAGCAGATGGAGAACAACAGACACTTCAGAGGGAGATTCAGATCCTTGGTGCTTTATATCTGCTCTGAAGGAGCAGAAAGAAATTCAGAATTCAGAGGAGCTCTCCTTCTTTTAAAGCTTCATGTTTAAATCAGGATGTGAGGGATCCTAACTTGGCTTACCTAGCGCAAAGACATCAAGAACTTGGTGTCTGGTTTGATTGTGCAAGCATCTGAGACCTCTGTATTGTTATCACTAGCTGATTAATTTGTATGTTTTTACAGTCATAAGTACCCAAAAACACACTTCTTGTTTTGAATCTGTCTCCTCCTTAGTGAGACTGTTAAAACTTCATCTGTTGTCCAGTTGTTTATACAAATTAGCTCATTTTCTACTAAAACTTCCATGGTAAACAGGAGCCATTAACCTGCTTGTCTCTGCTCCATCTCATGAAGCCTTTGTCACAAATGTCATTTTCTAGCACTGTTGCAGCATTCATCAAGATAATCACACATGCTTAATTTTTTTTCCATTAGCTTATGGTTCAGCACAGAGTGAAAGCACTACCCCAAGTATGAATACTCAGCAGGGCTCAGTGTGCAACAGCCAGCCAGATTTCTGCTAAAATACTGCCACATTCCCTGCTGTAACTGTGGATTTTAAACCAGCCTTTGCAGCCTGACTGTACAGTGCTCTTGTTGATGTGTTTTATTTTCTTTTCATTGAACAAAAACCTGTCAAGCTGCACAAGTTGACAGCTACTGACATCAGCCTGTGCCCAGCAGAAGCAGCCTCATTAGTGTGGCTCCCTGATGGAGGGGGAGCAGCTCTTCAGGTATGCAGGATTACACCCTTATAAAATGCCTGCCAGATCAGGTTCCCTTTCTTTTTGAGTGCTTCTGAGCATTATAAATGTTTTTCTGGTTAAAGAAATGAAACAAAAGGTGTGTGCCTGCTTACTAGGACCATGTCATCTGCTGTCATTGTCACTTGTAGGCTGTATCTGGTGGCTGGGGATTGTAGCTTTACTTTCAGGCTATAGGTGTTGGTCCAGCTGTCTGGAAACTGAAATCCAGAGCTGAGTTGTTGATTTGTTTTTTGGGTTTTTTTAACTCAACGCATCCTGGCAGTATCAGTGACAGTGTGGCCAGCAGGACCAGGGCAGTGATTGTCCCCCTGCTCTGGGCACTGCTGAGGCCACAGCTCAAATCCTGGGTTCAGTTTTGGGCCCCTCAGTACACAAAGATATTGAGGGGCTGGAGTGTGTCCAGAGAAGGGCAAGGGAGCTGGGGAAGGGGCTGGAGCACAAACCTCCTTGGGACTGGCTGGGGTGTTTGGCCTGGAGAAAAGGAGGCTCAGGGGGAGCTTATGGCTCTACAGCACCTGAAAGAAGATTGTAGCCAGGTGGGGTCGTCTCTTCTCCCAGGTGTAACAAGTGACAGGACAAGAGAGGAAGCAGCCTCAAGTTACACCTGGGCAGGTTTAGATTGGATATTAAGGAAAATTTCTTCATCTAAAGCACTGTCAAGCACCGGAATGGGCTGCCTAGGTCAGTGGTGGAATCACCATCCCGGGAGGTGTTTAAAAGCCATGTAGTTGTGGCACTGAGGGACGTGAGTTAGGGGTAGCCTGGCAATGCTGAGTTAAGGGTTGGACTTGGTGATCTTAGAGGCCTTTTCCAACCTAAATGATTCTATGATGTTAATTAAAATGCCACCTGAACTGTGATACTGTCATCCATGTGACATCAGCTGATGTGCAAAGTACAGGTACAAGCACCCCAATGCAAATTATGAAATGTTTAATAGATCTGCTCTTAGCAGCACATATCCCCTAAAAGGTC